CGGCGGCGGCGGCGGGCCGGGCGGGACGCTTAGTGGCCGGCTGGGGTCCCCGGGGGTGGGAGCGGCCTCCGGCCCCGCGGAGACGGAGCGGCTCGAGGACGAGGCGGCGGCGGGCAGGAGGATGGGGGCGAACCAGTTAGTGGTGCTCAACGTGTACGACATGGTGAGTGCGGCCCCTGAGGCCCCGGGCCCGGCGCTGCCTGCCGGGCGGCCCCGCCTCCAGCTGCCTTCTCGGGGGCGGGGGCAGAGCGTTACGATCGAATTGTCGCACGGGTCGCCGCTCCGGCGGCTGCTGCGCTCTCGGCCCCAGGGCTTTGACCTCTCCCGTGCCCTCAGCTTGTCCCGGACCCTGGCTGTGGGCCCGAGCCCTGGCCGACGAGCAGTGTCCCCTCCTCAGAGCTTCTGTCGCCGTTCCGACCCCCCCCCCAGCCCTACATGTGTCCTCATGCCCAAGTCCCCCAAAACTCTCAAGCCCCTAAGTCCAGAAAGTCACAGCCGTCGAGGCCTGGGCTGGCAGCTCTTCGAAGGGGACAGTAGCCGGCACATCGTCGCCTCCAAGCCAACCTCATGAAGGTGAAGGAGGCTAGAATGTATCCAGAAAATAGCCCTGTTGAGTGAGGGGATGGTGGCGGAGACCACTTTGTAGGTGATGCAACAGGTAGAGGACGTGGCCACCGGGAGGGGACGGACTTGTTTATTATGTCGTGTAACTTTGGGGTGCTGCGGGCTCAGAATCGAGCCGCAGGACTGGTTTGCCTGACAGTTGCAATTGAAAGACCCCCAGAAAAAGCCACCGGTGGAGCATTGTCGTTGCAGTGAGGTGTGTTTTTAGGTTTGTTTGCTTGCTTTGGGTTGATTCGCTTTTGTTTTGTAACGAGTTACCTCTGCCTGCGACGTTTAAAATATCTTGTAAGTGAATCGACAAATGAAAATTTTCCCATCGTTATTTTTCTTGGCTTAAAGATGCAGAAGAGCAGAAATACTAGAGGTCAGAAGTCTTGGTTCTCGTTTACAGGTCTAAACTTTTTATTCCCTGTATTGTTGATAAGTTTCTAAATTTACAATGTAGCGTCTTGGGTAGGAAGAGATTCCTCTGCCATATCTGGGTATTATGTCGGGAGGACATAGGGACTGCCTGCGACTTGAGGTGAGTCCTCTGTTCAGTTCTGATGGGAGCCTGCAGGTAAGAGGAGATGGGTTAACATACTGAGAAAAGTGAACCAAGATAGGAAAGTTGGAGAAGAACCACAAGAGATCGGAGAAAAGTGTGGCACTTTGTAAGGGGTTTTTGGCCTATGTCAGTGGTTAAGAAATAATTCTCTAGATTTAAACTTTTTGTGTTCAACTGGACACCTTTATTTTTCAAGGCTTTTTATTGCCCTTTTACTGCTTCTGTGGCCCCCTTCCCCCCTTTTGAATTCAGTTTCTTTTTTTTTTATTCGCGAAGAGTGTTAGAAACACGATCCCTGGGGATATATTCTCTTGAGAATACAGTGTGCTGTTTCTTCTGGACTATTAAACCCCTTTATAAATTAGGAGTATGCGGTGGCCAGAGGCCACAGTTTCAGAGCCTAAAAGAAAATTTGTGAGAGTAGAGGAAGAGACTGCTTTTTAAAAAAAAACTGGAAATGCATTCTTTGGCATATAGTGGGCTCCTTCACATTTTTGGTATTCTGTGAATCAGGAAAATCATTGCTAATTGTGGGAAACTGGGAAAGGCTAGAAAGGATATTCAAACCAATATTTTTTAAGGGAGGAATGTTTGGAATGATGTTAAAATATTAACTAATTAACAAAGGTTTTATTCCTCACACCACTTTTGTAAAGTAGGTGGCTACAGACGAAGCAGGCAGGGAAAAAAAGAGTTAAGCGACCTGCCCATGCAACTAAAAAGAGGATCTAGAATTTCTAGATCACAGTCTGATTCATTATCTTCCCTACTAGATAATTCCCTCATTTATTTTTTATGTAATGCTTTTTCCTATTTACTGTTCCTTTCTCAGAGTGGTAGATAGTTGAATTATTAGACTTCTGATAAACTTGCACTTGTATGTTCTTTTGAGGTCTTTTGGTCTATGAGTGTTTTATGTCACTGATTGAGCAACCTGCTGTTACTTAATTTTGACTCTGTAGAAGCCACAAGGATGAATTAATTATTCTTTCTTTAAGGAATTTAGAATATCGTAAGAGAGATATAACAGTAGTGACCATTCAAGACAGAATAGTACAATTATGATAAGAGCAGAAAAGGTTGCAAAGGAAGAGACTGTATGTGGCTGCAGGATCAGGGAATGCTGAAAGATGAAAGGTGGGAACCTTGAGGATTGGTAGGATCTCCAGGGATGGAGAACAGTCAGCATGAACAAAATGGCAGGAACAGGAAAGCTGAAGATGCATTTGGGAAGTGGGTTCGGATCCCACATACAGACCGGTTCCCGCTCACTGGCTGAGCGAGGCGCGGGAGCAGCACCGAGGGTTGCAATTCCGTTGCCGGTCCCCGGTCCGGTACGGGGGCAACACTGAGGGTTGCGATCCGTTGCCGGACACGGAAAAAGACAAAAAAAAAAATAATAAAATAAAATAAAAAAATAAATAAAAAATAAAAAAAATAAAAATATGTTTGAAAATGTTTGTAAATTCATTGTAAATTCATTGTAAATTTGTAAACAGATTTCTTCCTATTTTGAAATAGTATCTATTCATCTTCACAGTCTTAAAAGAATAGAAAAGAAACACTTTCTAGGACTCTTCAAATAAGGACATTTTTGTCTGGACTCCTTTTTTGACCTGCCTATCTCCATTAGACTCTTCCAAGAGAGTGTGAGGTCATGCAAAGGTGATTAATCTGACTTCACATACATCTGTAGATCTAATTCAGAATCTTCGAACAAGTTCCAGACTCATACAGCTAGATATACTCTTCAGCTAAATGAGTCTATAATATCTCTAAATTAACATGCACAGGAACAAAATTCTTTCTTTTCTGCATTTCCACGTACCACACCTTTCCCTCTCACCCCATCCCACCCCCCAAAACCACCACTTTTGTTGTAATTTTGTCTAGGTAACTAGCACACTTCTACTCAGTTTCCAGACCAGAAACCTGGGAGTAAACCTGAATTCCTCTCTATTACAGACCATTCACAGTCAGTCACCGGGTCCCGTCTTTTTGTTTCAGTTTGGTTGATTCTGTCTGAAAGTAACAGGAGAGCTTGACAACAGCAGCTTAAACTGGAAGGATCCTTGTCTTAAGGTCAGAGGCGAGCGGTTTCTCGTTCGTTCAGCAGCTCAGCCATGACGTCAAGAAGGAAGACTTCCCACCCTTCTACCCTGCCGTCCTCAGGATGTTGGCTTTTGTTCTCGGTGTGTTCCCTTATAGTTGTAAGATGACTGCCGTGGCTCCAAATAAGGCATCCTCATTCAGCAGGATGTGCAGGAAGACAGAGGCGGGGGGCCTTTCTCTCGTGCATCTCTCTCCTAACAGGAAGGAAAAGGTTTGCCAGAGCCTCCCTCCCTCCCCAAGAGGTTGTCCAGAGTTGGCTCGTGTGTAACTGTGGGGAGGCCGAGGGAGCAATAATCTGGCTTTTCTAGCCTTTGTGGTGAGTTGTGGGTATTGAAGGCTGGGAGTTGGAAGTGGCAGTTAGCTGGGAACCCAGGATGTCTGTCACGTATTTTACTTTCTGAATACTCTTTAAATTGGTTACTTTATCCCCATGTCCACCGTTGCTTCTTAACCTCAGGCCCTCACCATCTCTGTTTGTAAAGTACATTATAAAGCCTCCTTACTAGTTTCCATCTCTGGTATTGCTTCCTCTTAACCCACCTTCTGTTCTGTTACCAAAGTAACCTTTCTGACACATAAGTGATTGTGCCTTTCCTCTGCTTGAAATTCACCTGCAGGGTAAAGTCTAATGCCAGTTGTGACGTGGTCCTTACCTGACAGTTAAAGGCCCGTCTTCCACGCCTACATACACGCTTTATGCTCACACAGTGAAGTCTTTTAGTTATCAAGTGGACTGTATTATACTGTTCACACCCCAGTATCTTTACACATGCTAGAGTTCCTGTCTAGAATGTTCTGATCCATCATTGATCACCTTCAGTCTCCTGCTTCTTTTGGCTGTAGCTTAGCCTTTACTCATCAGACTTGGGTGAACCTCAGTGCCCTGGTTGTGCTTTGTGCGTCTCACTTACGGCGGGTGTTACAGCCCCGTGCGTCCCCCTGGACTGTAAACCCCTTGATAGCATCATACTATCACTAGAAGATGTTGCATAAATATTTGCCAAATGAATGGGATTTTAACTAGCCGGTTCTTATTAGGAGAGGTTCCAATACTTAAATTCTCTTCTTTGTGTCAGTTAACTATTTCTGGTTTTTTCCCTTGTACCTTTACTTAGTACATTGCTGGATTTTAGCTTTGATTGTTAAAATGGGGTGACCAAATGAATGAGGGAAGGATCATAGGGATGAGACAGGAAAAAAATCAAATATTCTTCTATGACAACACCTTTTAAAAAAAAAAAAATGAAAAGAAAAGAAAAACCACTGTGGGGCTAGACTAAGAAAATGTTTTATATTGGTTTATTTTTTGAAGTTTGATTTAGTCACTGCTTGGAAGATAATCTTTCCAAACACGTTGGCAGTTCCTGAGGGTAGTGAAGTTTGATTTAGTCACTGCTTGGAAGATAATCTTTCCAAACACGTTGGCAGTTCCTGAGTTTTAACATAGGTTAACTAGGTAATAGGAGCTAGTCTTAATTTTCTTGTACTAAGTATACTTCTTGGGCCAGTGCCACTTTCACCACTTGATGTAGAAACAGTGAACTATGAGCCTAGTTAAGCAAAAAAGAGCAATCATAAATCTGCCGTCCTGCATTATCCATGGCATTTTCTTTTTTTTCCTTTGGTTTTATAATATATGAGAAAAGAATTCAGTCTCCATATGTATTTGTTTTCTGTTGCTATAATAACAAATCACCAAAAACTTAGCATTTTAAAACAACATGCATTTGTTTATCTCACAGTTCTTTAAGTCAGAAGCCCAGGTGGGCTAGGCTGCTTTCTCTGCTCCAGGCCTCATCAGCCCAGTATCAAGGTTTTAGGCTCTGGGGTCAAATCTGCTTTCAAGCTCATTCAGTTTGTTAAGAATTCACTTGTTTATG